CTAGGCAAATGAGACAGTCACTGGCCAAAGAGTTTGAATGCAGGGAAGGCGCTGGGTCAGCACGCCACAGGTGGCTGGCTGCCGTTTGGTGTTGGCCTTTGCAAGTTGTGAGGGATCTCACCGTTGTGAGACTCAAGAAACAGAGAGAGTGATGAGTGAGAAGAGAGAGAGAGAGAGAGAGAGAGAGAGAGAGAGAGAGACAGACAGAGAGAGAGAGAGAGAGAAGAGACAGAGAGAGAGAGAGAAAGAGAGAGACAGAGAGGGAGACAGAGACAGAGACAGAGAGAGGCAGAGACGCAGACAGAGAGAGACAGAGAGACAGAGACAGAGAGAGAGACGCAGACAGAGAGAGAGAGAGAGAGAGAGAGAGAGAGAGAGAGAGAGAGAGCAAAGTCAGTGACACTTGAGAGGTTGGGTCGGGGTTCACTTCACTGGCTTTGGTGGAAAGAGAGGAGATGCGGTTTGAGCAAGAGTCTGGCATCCTTGCGGCAGTGCCCTGTCGCGCTGCATTTCCAGTCAGCCTTGTACCAACCCGCTGCCGTTTTCGTACGTTTTGCGTTTGGTACGACAGGATGGCCGTTACACGACAGCGCCTCCCACGTTACAGTAGCTCGGAGAGGGGTGGAGCTTGTGCTGATGCTCAGCCAGAGGGTGGAGCAGCCTGTGATCTTCGTTCCATACAAATTCATAGGGGAAACCAGAGAATGGTCGAGGGTGTGGAAGCGCTACTAGAGATGAAGTCGGCAGGTGTGATCCGTATCAACTTTGGCTTCTTCAGAATGTGTATTGTTTTATCCAAGCTTTTCTGTTTAAATCTTTAGCACCCCTTGAGCATTCCCTACCCGCCACAACTATAGTTGTATACATATAATCGAAACTGCTGCGCAGTGCCTCTTTTGGCGCTCCGCTCGTTGGCCTCTGAATGAATGGGCGGCGTTGGACCTGTGGACCTGCAAACACTCAGCGCCCGAGCTTCAAACACCTCTACTTCACATTCATCCGATGTGTGAACAATAAAGTTGTCGCATGGCGTGGCCTTTTCCTTCCGAGAGGTGCATCGACGGTTCATCATTGAGCCAAATCCATTCACTCCTGGTTGATCACAGCAGAGCCATACAGTGGGACAGAAGAAATCGTTTATTGTGATGTACCCATGCTTGGTACAAACGAAATGAAACTCAGAGCAAACCGGTCTTCCACAGAGCGTGAAGGTCAAGAGGTCAAGAGGTCAAGAGGTCAAGAGGTCAAGAGGTCAAGAGGTCAAGAGGTCAAGAGGTCGAGAGGTCGAGATGTCGAGAGAATGGAACAGGATCACGCTTAACGTCCAGTCGACGGCTGCCGACCCTAAGTGAGTGGGTGTTCTTCACGAAGTCCTGACAACCAAAAGGTCAGGAACAATGCCAAAGAATCAACGCAAAAACAACAAGTCAACGCAGAATATAATACTTTATGAATATATGTTAGTGTATCACGACCAGGTTTATGAAGATATCGAAAGAGTTTATGTCGTTGGCACGAGTCGTGATGATCTAGGTTGGAGCCTTTCGTGATGTGTGTGTGTGTGTTGTGTGTGTGTGTATCACGTTTTTTTTTTTTTTTTTTTTGGCAGCCAGTGGCAGTGTAGCGCTGACGACACAACCGACATCGACGGCCTCGAGAAGGGGGAGCAGCCTTGGTAACAAAGCAAGAACGAGGCAAGGGCGCAGCTTTGCCCAGTGTTTGGTCTCCAGGTCCGTCATTTGGCAGAGGCCAAGGGCCCATTGGCCGATGGGACGTCAGGCAGGGGGAAGAGACCCTCGTCTGTGAAGCTGGCGCGTGTCCCGCGGGCAGCCCTCTGGCAAATGGTGCTTGTGGTGGGAATTGAGCTGATTGTATACATACGGATGTATAAAAGTGTATATCCCCTTACGGCAGATGAGTGCAACTCACGGAATAGTTTTGTCTCCTCTGGCATGGCTCGTGCCGCCACAGGTCAAGCCTCGGCACGTTGCAACTTTATCGATATCATGGGGTTCTTTATGGAGCTGCCCGAGCTGCTGGTCCACGCGGGACCCAGCGATATGATCCCCTTTGTGTTTAGCTTGACAGCCGGTCTCTGCCTGCTCCACTGTCTTCTCGAGCTCTTTTTCTTGGCGCTCCCAAAGTTATCGCAGCGAGCCGGCTTTCTCGCCTACACGATTTCTGCTGGTACGAGACATGATTGCGCTGCGAGACCTGCCTCTCAATGAAAACGCCACAAGGAATACGGCACAGCATGTTGGAGCATCCACACCCGCCGCCGTCTCGCTCTTGCTCATCATCGCCCGCGCTTGCTTGACCTGATTGCGCCTGGCTGGTGGGTGACCGCATAGCTGTTGCCATCAGCTGGCTGTCCATCATTGGTGTCGCCCGATTCATGCTTCCCGACCCTGAGGACCCGGTGAGATGACACGGGCCTGGGCGGATATCAGCGCTTCCTGTCAGCTCAAATGTGTGCTCGCTGACGGCCTCTTCTGCCCCATTCATGCCTGGGCGAGTGTAGCTTTTCGGCTTTGATGCGGCTGCCCAGCGCATTGGGGAGGTGATGCTGGCCTATCAAATCTACAACTTAACCGTAGCCATCGTCTATAAGGAGCAGCGTACTGCTGCGACTCTTGGTCACCACACGGCAGCCATGGCCAGTGCCCTGGCTGTCGCCAATCAATATCTCCACGGCTACGCGGCCGTAGGTTCTTCGCCTCCTTGTCAGCCGATTGTCCTGCTCAGCGCAAGAGGCACAGCAGCACGGGCCAAACTTACATTTGCAACTCCCCCGTGTATCGGTCACCGACGTTGTAGTACTGCTTTGGCGTTTTTGAGTCCTCGAGCATTCCGCTCAGTGTCATGGACATCTTCAAAATGTTTCCACAGCTCATTGAAAAGTTCCCTACCACCTACACGTACGTCTGCGCTGCTATCACCGCTCCAGCGACCGCAGGAGCACGCCGCCGCCACAGGTTGAGCCCCCACCATGCTGACCCCAGGCCTTGCGCCATGGCCCGCTGCTTGCACGTCACAGGGGTGTTCGGCTGGTGTTTGCCATTCACTTTATCATCGTGCGACTCGTGATGTTGCCACCTTTTTTGCTGCGCTTCTTCAGCCACGTGAAAATGGTTATGGTGGCCCCGACTGGCACATATTCCAAGACCGATACAATTGTGATGGGCTGCCTATTCTTCAGCTCACTCACTCTCAGTGGGCTTCAGGTCATCTGGGGCCGCACCATCGTCCTTGGCCTGCTCAAGGCAGCTGGTATCATCAAGTCCAAGCCTCGCCCGGGCAAACCCAACAAGCATGTTCAGCACTCGGAAGTCAAGGGCGATGAGAAAAAGCTCAACATCTCCACAGATCGTCTCTCAGGAGATGTCATGCAATCACTTCGGGAATCAGCCGAGCAGATTGAAGTGGCCGATACGCATGTCGACGAGACTGACCCCATGGACAGCGTTCCCGCCCCCATTATCGCCTAGGGAGGGCGATAACAAGCAGGCAAGGCTCGCGCTCTATTCAAGTGCCCCAACGCGCCTCGTGATGTGACACTCCAGCAGCCTGGGCTTGTTTATTTTTTCCTTCCACCCGTATTCTGTTCTGTCCGTCCCATATGCATCGGGTGAAGCTCAATGTTCTCTAGCCTTTACTTCCTCGACTATTCTACAATTTATTTCGCAGTCGCGTTGCCACTGATATACAGCCTACTCATACTGAGACAAGCATAAGAACGCGCGTTTGAGAGACGAGAGAGACGAGAGAGACGAGAGAGACGAGAGAGACGAGAGAGACGAGAGAGACGAGAGAGACGAGAGAGACGAGAGGGGCGGGCGATTCGAGAGGGACAAGACGGGCGAGACGAGAGGCAAGGAACTAAAATCAAGGAAATTCAAGTTACCTCTCCAATTTTGCCCGCGTTTGAGCTTAGACACTTTACAAGCAAGATGCGCATCAACAACAACGATGCGTTGACTTCGGAAGGGCTGGTGTTGGTGCCGTACATGGCGCACCACGTGCCCAAGTATCATGAATGGATGCAGAGCACCGAGCTACAGGAGCAGGTACAAGCGTACAGGGGCTTGCCTGGCGACCTCTGCATTTGGCTGTGCGGGTTTGTCTCAACGAGATGCACACGTGCTGGGTAGACAGCTTCTGAGCCCCTCTCCATTGATGAGGAGTATGCCATGCAGCGCTCCTGGCGCGAGGACGAGGATAAGCTGACCTTCATACTCCTCAATCTGTGCGTCGCTTCCCGCTTCAACCAATGCCTCCCAAACAGCCAATTTTTTCTTGCAGCCATTCTTTCGTTTCCTTTGCAGCCGGCTCATGGCATGTGTACAAACGGGCGCAGTGCCACCACCCGTCTAGATGACCCCTCACCTGATGTGACGGTCGAGGAAGAAACAGCCGCCATGGTCGGCGACGTCAATTTGTTTTTTAACGATCAAGATGATCCACACTCGGCTGAGATTGAGGTGTGCACATCTGCCGTGCTGTCGTGGGCGTGCGTCCCCAGGCTACGAAAGGAAAAAAAAAAAAAAAGAAAAAAAGAAAAAAAAGAAAAAAAACCCATAAAAATCAAACCGCCATGGCTCACGCCCTGCCGACTCGTCCTGTGGAAGGTGATGATTGCCGAGCCGAGCGCTCGGCGACGGGGATTGGGGCAGCGGGCAAGTCTGCTGATGATATTATATGCAGTTGATCAATTGCACTTGGAGGTATGCTTATCTGGCGGCGCTGCAAGCTCACGATCAGATCTGTTTTGTCCATGGACCCGCTGATGTTTGCTTGACCCCCCACTTTAGCGTGTGACGGCCAAGATCGGCTTTGCAAACGCCCCATCCTTGCACCTTTTCACGGAGCGCCTTGGCTTTACAGAGGTTTGTGTCCTTGGCTTGAATGCCCTCATGGCATCACAGCTGCTCTCATATGTTCGATTATTGCATGCGTTTTTGTTGTGGCTAGGTGAGCCGCAGCGTGGTCTTTGAGGAAGTGACGTTGGAGCGCCGGCTTGAGCCAGCGCTTGTGGCTGAATGGCGCGCGCTGGTGCAAAGCCGAAAACTTGCGTACGACACGGCCTTTGTTGCTGCTCGTGCATGATGCAGAGGACCAGGCGTTGAACAGAAGGCCTGCTGGCACTTTTAAAAGACAAGCTTGTTGTAGTATTTTCGATTGTTGGATACGCTCCTGAACGACCAGAGCGGTGGGCCGGATGGCTTGGATAAAGCCAAACGCTATTCGAATTCAGCCTAGGCCAGATCTTCAGGCACCCAGGGTGCAGGTTTGCGGGCAAAAAACGCACCCAGACCGGCCTGGCCTTCCTCACTGGCACGTTGCTCAGCCAAGGCGCGAGCCGTCGCCACCACCAAGTCTGAGCATGGGATACAACAGTTTGCATCGGTCGAAAACAAATCATGCAGCAGGGCGTGAGGGTTGGTGCGAGGTCCAAGAGCTAACGAGCCAACACAGAAGAAGGGGGGAGGGAGGTGCGCACCGCTGGGGTTTTCACTTTGCTCAACCAAGGTGACGAGATGCTTCGAGGCGGCCACCGCGTTGGGGCCAGCACGCAGGAGCGCTTGGCGCAAAGAGGTCTCCATCTCACGGAGCCCTTCTTCGTCCGCCACTACCTGCAAAAGGAGGTAGCATTCATGGTGCCCCAATCAGCAGAGGCTGGTCCTTGAGAAGCGTGATGCCCGTGTATGAATGTTACCTCGTGTACGAGACCAATCTCTTGTGCGCGCGTCGAGGAGATGGCCTCAGCCGTCAGCATGTACCTATACGGATTGTGGGTAAGAGTTTCAGCTCGAAGCTCTCCACGTGCATTTGTCAGATGGGATGAGGTGGCGCGCTTCTACGGACCGACGGCTCTGGGCAGCACCAATGCGCGCAATGACGTAGGGCGAGATGGTGGCGGGGATGATGCCTAGCTTCACTTCGGACAATGTGAAGTTGGCAGATTGGGTCTAGCGAGCCAGGGATAAGCCCACAATTGGATACAAGCAGTGAGAGTTCCCGGAAGAACGCCAGGCTGTGGGTGCTATCGTGAGCATGCACGCCAGACATAGCACGTACGGCAACAGCGACATCACAGCACGAGACGAGGCCAACTCCACCGCCAAAGGCTGGGCCTAAAAGAAAAAAAAAAAAAAAAAAAAAGGACGAAAAAAAATGGAAGAAGAAGCAAGAAACGGGATGAGCTCTGATCCAAGCTCAGCATCACAGCATGAGTTGACTCGCACCTTGCACAAGCGCGATGGTCGCCATGGGCAGCGTGTTGAGGTTGAGCAGCATGTTGGAAAGGGCCTCTGCATCGGCCTGATTTTGCTCCTAAGGTATGGGGGCAGCACACGCATGCCCAGATGCGGATCCTTGATTGAGGTAGGGCAAGAGGTACACATGCCGCAGCGTTGGCAACAAGCGCAAGGGCAGGAGCCAGCTGGTTTGCACCAGCCGGACTGGTGATGGAGGCTGAACCTTGGAGTAATTGATGGAGCCCTTCATCCACTTGAGATCGGCACCCGCCGAGAAGAAGCGACCCTCGGCGCGCAGGAACATGCCACGCAGACCGCTTTCCGCGCGCAGGTCATTCCACACCTGGTCCAAGCGGCTGATGACCTGAGCAGAGCAGCAGCAGAGCCATGGACATGAGCACATTGACCGCAGCGGCTCGTCTCTCCTCTCTGGGCTTCCCAGAGCGGGACCGGCTGCAGAGGACATGGGGGGTGGCAGTGGGGCCGCGACCGTGCCTTGTCAGAGAACGTGTTGAACTTATCACCGCGTGCAAGAGTGACGTTGGCAAAGCCTTGGTCGTCCACGTGTACCTCCACGCCTTCGCCGCTGGCGTGTTGCAGACCGCGGACGCTCCTGGCGCACGGGGTCACGAGCCGTGCTGCCCTCACACACCGCGCTGCCGCTGTCAGTGTCATGGCCATCTTGATTGAAAAACCTGTACTCGTGCACAAGCCACACCCTGCCGCTGCCATTAAAAACCAGAACACCAGACCGCATGAGCATCATCAGCACCAGCATTTCCCGTCCGATGCCCGCTGCCATCGATGGCTCACCGTGAGCGAAAATGAAGTTGCTGTTGCAAGCGTTCAACTTTGAGTCACATATCACCTAAGTTATTGAAGATTGAATTCAAGTTATTGAAGTTATGATAAGCTAAAAGCAACGTTCTTATGAAGCAATATTACAAGAAGATGAAGCATTATATGTGAGTTTGTGACGGTATCCTGCGCACTTTTGCGGCTCACCACAATCATAAGCTGTCGAAGCAAACTATCAAGATTCCGAAGAACCATTAACCTCAACAACGATATCTGATGTAGAGGTTTGAAAGGTTATTGTAGTACCTTCTGAAACATTTTTGTCTGACAAACGCGTCGATTTTCTGTCACAAAAAAAAAGAGAGAGAGAGAGACACACACACACACACACACACACACACACACACAGACACACACACACACATACGAGCGCGTGGTGACGAGCGAGCGGTCTGGTCTGATCTGGGCTGATCTGGTCTGGTAGTGGTGGTGGAGTTGGTGGTCGTGGGCCGTTGGGAAGTGGATTTTGGTGCCTCAGGGAGTCTAGGTTGGCGTGGGCTGGTGGTAAGCTGCGCATGTGCCCCCTTGCTGGCTGCTTGGTGGAATTACTTGATTGTGACAGGTTGACCTCGCTTGTGTCATGGCGTCGCTAGGTGCAGCCGTGTCGCTGCCGGGGCTGTCTGGGCAAAGAGAGCATTGATTGTGAGCAGGCAGAGGCAAACGGCCCTTAAGGGAACGCCATCATGGCCAAGACTGCCGCTAGCGGCATTGGCTATTCAAGGCAATGGCAAACGGCCACCTTGCTGCTGGTGCTCGCGCTCTTGGCGCTCCCATCAGGGCTGGCTCAAGAACCTACAGCACACGCAGATACAGAAGATGCCGCACACGGTCACTCTGAGCTTTCCGGTACGGCGGCGCGAGCATGTCGCCAGCAGCCATCATTGCCCTGCTCTGCTTCGGTCCCTTTTGCGCCCTCAGCATCACGCTCGCCAACCCCATACGGGGTCTCCCCAAACTGTCCGTAGTTTGCTCTGCCGAAGTCATTGCGAATCTTTCGGGGAGCGGCAACTCCCGATACGGCGACCACAGCTTTTTGGATGAAGTGGAAGAGAACCGCGAACTGACGGTGTGCAAACAGCTCTGCCTTGCCACTCGTTCTTCGGCTTGTGCGTCGTATCGGGATCCTCAGCCTGTGCCAACCGTCTCTCTAACGCCTGCGTGACCTGTAGATTTTCGCCCTTCACTTTCAGGCTGTGGAACAGCCTTTCTTTGCCACCCTGATTCTGCTCGTCGTCTCCTTCCTCCGTGTTGGTGCGTTTGTTTTGGGCGACTTCAGGCAAAGGCTCGAGACGGCGCTCAACGTCACCTCATGAGCTGCATTCCGCTGTACTCTTCTCATTGACACCACGCTGCCCCTAAATCCGCCTGCACGCAGTCTTCCAAGCCTCAAAGCTGGGACAGATTCTTCCCGACTCGTGGTGCGTGTGACGTTTCATGCACACGCGGTGCCTCATCGCTCATTTCAACCCAATGTCAACGCTCACGCTGCACACACTTCGATGCCCCCCTCGTCCCCATGCAGCATGGTCATTCTCGTGGGCATCATTGTCGGATTTTACATTAGGTTGGCGTCTGAATCGGAGCACGCTTGCAAACGGTTCTTGCACCCTATGCTTCCAACGTGCGTGCGACCGCCGCCGTGCCGTCCCATTCATTCTCCACCATTTTTGGCCCGCAGATTCATCGGCGAGCGACAGGACCCCTTTGATTTCTCCGCCGAGGGCTTTTTCCTCATCATCCTGCCCCCGTAAGCCTTTCATCTCCTCCAAAGCGCCCTGATCGATGTGACTTAAGACTGGCTACTTTGCTCAGCTTTGGAGTGCTTTGCTACCCTGCATCCTTTCAGCATTATTTTCGAGGCTGGCTATCAGCAATGCAATAATCGCGTCTTTATGGAAAACATTGGCACCATCCTCATCAATGCGATTCTGGGCACAGCCTTCAACACCTTTGCCGTCGGTCAGTCCCACACCGACTGCTGTGTTTGCTTCTCATCCCTCATCTTGTTTTGGTGACCTCACCAAACATACCTTGTGTCTGTCGCGGCCCAGGTTTTGTCATGTCTGCCATTGCCAATTCTTTGGGCATTGACATGAACCCAGCCGAGGGCCTGGTCTTTGGCGCTCTCATTGCTGCTGTTGATCCTGTGGCCGTCTTGACCGTGTTTGAAGAAATGCACGTGAACGACACGCTGCACACCATCGTCTTTGGCGAGAGCATTCTCAACGACGGCGTCGCCGTCGTTTTGGTACGCCTTCTCGTGCTGTGAAAAATCAAGCGTCGGGCTTTGGGCGTAGGCCATGATTCAACGTGTAGCGTGTCCTCTTTCTCCCCTCACGCTCATTTTTGCCGCACAACAATGTGCAGTATCGCATCTGCGTCTCCATTGCCTACAACGGCAACACTTCAGAGGGTACGTGGGTGCATGCCTTGCTTGTTGTTTCCGTCAGACTTCAGCAACCAACTCAACGCCACGGCAACCCTCTTCTTGACATCATCGCGGCGTTTAGAAAAATTGGACATCGCAGCGGCTGTGGGCACGGGCGTCGGTGCTTTCATTGTGGTTTTTGTGGTGAGCTTGAGCCACTCATATCTGGCTCGTCACATCTTCGCCCACACTTGACCATTCTGTTTGTTTGCAATCGCGTTTTTGATGTTGTGTCGACTTTTTGCTCTAGGGCGGGTTGATCATTGGCATCTTGCATGGCGTTCTTGCGGCATTTATCACGCGCTTCTTCATTCCCGGTGAGTCGAGGCGCTCCTTTTTGCAATGCCCTGGCTTGAGCTGCTGGCCTCTGCCGACGTTCTTCACGATCAGGCCAGCTCGAGTTTTCAAGCTCGCTCATGCCTGTGTTACCGGTCCAGAGTCGGGCCGTGTGATGGAGCCGTTCATTTTGATCTTGATTGGTTATCTCTCGTACCTTGTGGCTGAGATTTTCCACTTTTCGGGTATTGTCAGGTTTGTACGCCTTGTCACCCTCGGTGCACCGTATTTGATCATGACCCCCTTGCTTTCTTTTCTGGCCTTATTCATTTTGTTGTTTCCTTGCCTTTTCCATCAACCGGGACTTCGCAGCATTATGGTATGTGGCATGTTGATGAAGCACTATGCGTCCAAGAACATTCAAAAGACCTCTCGGGTCAGCATTCAGTACTTTCTCAAGATCATTTCTGCGACGGCGGAGACTCTGATTTTTGTCCTTCTGGGCGTCGAGCTCGTCACTTCCGTGTCCATTGGTACGAGCAGATGTGCTTTGGCCCTGCCAACGCTCGCTGGGCTGGATACAGGGAACTCGTTTAGCTCACCCCATCGCGCGTTCGTTATATCTTAGGCTGGCATACCGAGTTTATCTTTATTGCCTATTTCATGTGCCTGATTTTTCGCGCCGTCTCAACATTTGCCAGCTCCTGGGTGATCAACCAAATGCGCCGACACAAAATCACCTTCAAGGACCAATGCGTCATTGCCTATGGTGGTTTGCGCGGTGCCATTGCGTTTGCCCTGGCTTTCATTTTGATTGATAACGAGCAACTTTGTAGCGGCAACGATGGTATGTGCACCAGGCCGTCAAATGCGAGTGGGAACCAATCAAACGGGTTCGGTGCATGGTTGGGTGGATACCTTCGTGCGCTTTGGTCCAATATGGCAAGAACTGATGTCATTTGTCTGCCACGCTTGCCTGGTTTGCACGACCGTTGCCCACAGCATTGACGGCTTTTGAGCATCGAGACTTGTTTGTCTCGGCTACGATTTTCATCGTCATGATCACGGTCTTCGTGCAGGTGAGACTACGCTGCTCCTCACCTTTGTGTTTATGGGCTTGCATGCAGTAACCACAATCGTGCTGTTGCCTCCTTTCTCCCAGGGAACGACGATCAAGCCTGTGTTGGCGGCGCTTAATATCTCCATGGCCGATGAGCATGAGACGCTGGGGTTTGAGAAGCTCAATACCAAGCTCGTGGACAGCATGATGCGAGGTGAGAGTCCTTGTACAGCCAGGCTGCCGACGATGTACTGTCGGTCACTCCTCATTGTTGTGCACGCTCGTCGGTCGGGTATCACTGTGATGGTAGTTGTGGAGATTATTTCCCACGTGCATTCTCCCAATTTCCTCCGGGACTTTTATTCGCGATTTGATGAGATGCTACACTTTTACATGGTCAAACCTGGCGGTGATTACAAGTACCTCCTTGAGCGCGCTGAAGAGGAGCATATGAAGAGTTTACTCGAGGTAAGCCAACATGTCATGTCCGATAGACAGCCGGGCTTTGGTTTGCTCGTGCCGATGGGCCATGAACGCTTCCTTTTTTTATCCCTGTGTCAGGCCGGTTTAACTCAACTGCATGTTTTCACCATCAGCGTATTCGCCACGAGCGGCAAAAGGCGCGAGAGGAGGCAGAGGATCGGGGTTTGGGTAAGGTCGATCTAGCTGCTGGCCATGTCCTGTCCCGTCTCATCAACACGCTGCTGGGCGTGGTTGCGTTGATGCATCGCAGATGAGGTGGAGGTGGACAACTTGCTATGGCAGCGTACACATCAGAACTTCCGTAACGTCATGGGCGAAATGGCCATGCTTACAAATCGTGCCATGACTCTTGAAGAGAATCGCGCACATTTCAAGTTTGTGGCGGCTTGTGATGGTCGCATTCATCGGTAGGCGCCTGGGGTGGTGCGACAACTCATGGCAGATGTGATGCCAATCTTTTCTCACGCAGGCGAAGCAAGGATGACGTGGCTTCCAAACTGTTGCAAGAAGTCAAGGATCGGTGCGTTTGTGTGTCTTTGGGTTTGAGGTGTTTCGTCGTATGAGCCGGCTGTGCACCCGATGGTTCTTACATGTGTGTGTGTGTGTGTGTGTGTGTGTGTGTGTGTGTGTGTGTGTGTGTGTGTGTGTGTGTGGAATGCAGGCCTCATAATATGCGATTCGACTATGAGGATGACGACTCTGGTGATGATCAGCAGCAGCTGGCGCGTTTTCAAGCCATGTTGCTGCGGTACGTGGGATGCTGTAACGGGCACTGATTGACTGGCCAGTTTGAGGCCAACGGTTGTGGTTCTAACGACTTTTTGAATTCCTGATCCTTTTGTGGCTGGCAGGGAATACGGGCCCGTAGCGGGTACAGGAGGGCGCGAAAGCTTATCTTCGCGCCAAACCTCGGCAACGGTCCCCGTGCGACGGTTTGTGGACGACCCACCTTTTCTTGAAAACCTTTAGCCTGTTTTACACATCCCCTCAACCCTTTTTTTGTGTTATGTGATCCCTTCTTTTCGAAACGCAGACGTCGGGCCACCATGACGGTCGGCGATGATGTAAGTTGTACTGAGTGGCACCCTCCCCCTTTTTTTTGTTGCAGGTCTTCAATTTGTTCGTTACGGCCGAAAGCCACTAACCGAGCCTCGGGATTGCGCGTGTCTAGGAGCCGGAGACACCGACCGGATCTGCGATGGATCTGCCCTCCGCCAACACCCATTTCTATCATCGCTCAGCGGTGGGTTCACGTGTCATTGCTGGTGACCGTATGTTTCTTGGTCAGACCGCCGTGTTGGACCTTGCTTCACGATGCCTTTTCTGTACCTTTTTGTAGAGTACGGGAACAAACTCCATGGAGGCATTGCTGGATGATCATGGCACGGTATGTTGCGCGCAAGAAATTGTGTGGCGACTGTTGAGACCAATCGACCAGCTCGTGAGCGTTGCGTGGTCTTACTTCAATCCGTTTGTGTGCATCTTAACCATCTCGGCCAAACCTTGTGGCGTGTCAAACTTTGCCCTTAGATGCAAGAGATGGATCTCGAGCTGGGTCTGGCTCCAGTGCAAGAGATGTCGCTCTAAGCTCAGCCGCTCGTGAAATGCGGCGAGCTATTTTCCGCTCTCAAAATTGGTGTACTTGTGTCAAGTGGTGCTCACATTCGAGGCTCTCCTTGTTGTTATTTCAACCCGTGTTTAGTCGATAGCTCCTTGCATGTCAATCAGAACAATAAATTCGCTGGGTGATTTCTCTCCTTTTTCTCTCTTCCCATGCCACCCCGCTCTACTGATGGTAATCATGCGAGCATGGCGTAGCAGTGTTTTTTTTTTTTTGGGCAGACCTACTTAGTGACGTGTTCTTCCGAACTCCTTAAAAAAGGAAAAGAGTTGAAGAAGAGTTGACAGCCCTTTCGCCCGGGCAGTTTGGGCAGAAAGTACTGACAAGCCATGTGTGACCCGGAGACAGCTTCTGGCTTTGTCGCCCCAATCTCAAAGAAGATGGCAGCAGGCCGCTTGCTTGTGGCATTCCTTTGAAGCGATATTACCTGAAGTAACTGGTTTTACCGTCAAAAGGCAATGCACAATGCGCATGGACTCAGAGCCTGACATCATCGTCTGAGAATTCAAAGACCCATGGGCGTTTTGGGGGCGGTGGTCAACTTCTGAGCGCACTCCACGTAGAGGGCGGTGCCAAAGACAAGGAGGGTTGGAGAGTGCCCGCTTTTGACGTTTTCCGTTGACATGAGGTTTGGCGTGAGTCTGCGGTGGCGTTGCTAGTGATGGGAACAGTGATCGGTTTCTGTCCCTACATGCGTTTGGTGCTCTCGACCGATGATGCTCCCAAACGCCCGTTTGTTGCTAGCCACGGCGACCAAACAAAAACCAACGAGAGCGGTTGTGATATTATGGCGGGCTGCTCTTCCGCGCTGCCCTTCTGCCCCACCCTTCCATGCATCCCGCCATCGGTGCCAAGGTGCATTCATCCATTGACATGTGAACCCTAAACGCACTCCGTCGCGGTACGAAGGTCCTCCTTGCTATGGATGGCGGTATGACATCCGTCTGCATTTGAAAGGGAAGAGCCGTGGGGAAGAGAGAGGAAGAGTTTGAGCGGATTCATACAAGAGGCCAGTCGAGTCGATCCATCCGATCAGAGAGGCAAGGGCATACCACGGGAGCAAGGGCAGCAAGGAGAGACATGGATGACGAGCAAGTGGAGCAAGAGGAGGAAAGAGAGAGAGAGAGAGAGAGAGAGAGAGAGAGTGCACGTTTTGCTTTACGAGCCAAAAAGGGGCGGACCATTGAGATCTCCAGCGATCGTTCAGAGAGATGGAGCGAGCTTGAGGGATCTTGAGAGATAGGCCGTGAGAATGAGAGAATGCGAGAGAATGAAAGGAAACTGTGAGAGATAACAAAGAGATAACTAGAGATAACAAGAGACATCGAGAGATGTTGAGGGATTTTGAGAGATGTTGAGACATTGGGAAAGAAAAAAAAGAGGTTGGGAGCAAAAGTCAGAGATGTGAGAAAAAATTTTGAAATTTATCATTTTTAACGACAACAGTATACACACACACACACACACACGCACGCGTGCGCGAGAAGCAGTGTGTGCTTGTGGCAGCGTCAAGCACGACGACGGAAGAGCTCGTGGAGGAGGGTTGAGGTTTTGGAATGTGCCTTTGCCTTGTTGGTAAGTTCTTGGGTTGGTCCTGGGCTGGTTGGACGTGTCGGTGGGCCAGAGTTGAGGACACCAAGACAATTACAGACCGGACCTAGCCTAAACGCGTGCCCGCTATGCGCTAGATGGTCTGTGAGGACCGCGTGCCGTGCCCATCGATGGCCGACGTGACGCAGCTTTGAGCACAGGCCCTGAGCCATCGTCAACCAACTTGCTTGGTCAAGGATCGGTGAGCTGGCTTTGGCACCAGCCCAGATGGCGGCCTACGAGTGCATTCATTACACAAAAGATGTGGACGCACGCTTCGCTGGTACCGCCTTTACCGCCGGTCTTGGGCGACGTGCTGCCAACGCCCTCGTACGCGAGGGCGGGGAAGGCACTTACCTCGTGCGCTACAATGAAACACACGACTTTTTCGTCCTCACCGTCTGTTTAGACGGACGCGCTGAACAGTTTAGAATCCACGTGGGTAACGATGACCTCCTGACCCTGGACTTTCACGACTGGCAACCTTCCATCGATCAGCTTGTGGCCGAGGCCACGCATCGCGGCTTCATTGTTGAGCAGCGGCGCATTCACCTCGGACGTCCGGTCGAGACCATGCGCCTGTCGTTCTACCGCCGGGCAATCTGGTTTGATGAGCACATTGAACGCGACGACGCCCTACACGCCCTGGCCCAACAACCCGAGGGCACATTTGTGGTCCGCTGCAATCGCCGCGGTGGTCTCTCCCTGACCCTCGCTCTTGCTCCGGGTCAAGCGCCGATTAACTACGTCATTCACCGCACCTTTGAGGGCTACACGGTTGCCGATGAGCTGCCACAGCCCACGCTCATGCATCTCATTGAGGACATCGTCAAGCGTGGCTACCTGACCACCCCGGATGGTTACCAGCTGCCCATTACGCAGCCCCTGCGCTTGGCCCGTACGGCGCGGGCAGCTGCCGCTAGTACTGGGAGAGTCCGAGATTCGCGTGCCCTGCCCGCCCCGCACCGCCACCGCTCCCGCGACGACAGGGCAAGCCAGCTAGAGATGGCGGACGTCTCTCGCTCACTGCGTGGACGTGGACGCAGAAACGTTGAGTCCCAGCGCCACCCAAGGGCATACGAGCGTGCTTCTACGTACCATCCCGACTCGGGCAGCGAGGATGAGCCGCGCGCCTGGTCTCGAACTTCAGACCAGCATCGCGGTTACGATCGAGATGATCAAAGGCGCACGGGGGGATCCGCACCTGGCCGCCACCACGGTAGGCGCACCCACCACTCCGGCGCGTACGCCCACGATGATGTCAGCAGTCACGATTATGATGACTACGACTACGACGACCGTGTCAATCACGACGACCACAAGCGTCATTCCAAGCCGCGAGCGCGGCCGTTCTCGACACACCAGCCCGATGCTTCCGACTCGCGCCGCCGTCCGTCACAGGACGCCCGCCCCTCGCTCTCCGACTCTTTCCAGCCCTCCATCGCTGACACGTACATTTCAATTCAGCCCCCAGTGCCGATGGCCGGCGGGCACTTTCGTCCTTCCGTGACTTCGCCCGTGATACCTCCGACCGAGCCATCCGACCACTTTCGTGAGCCCGACCTACCAGAGCCCGGCTATACGCTGGCTTCGGACCTCCACGGTGCATATCGGCGTGAAGCCGCCGACAGCTACACAGACGATGAGGCCAATGCCTCGGGCAGTAGTGCCGACGAGGCTAGTGACCTAACTGAGCAGCCGCTCCCTCCCGCAGATGACTACGACGACTATGCTCTGGTGGCGCGCAACACAACAACGGCCACGGCAGCACGCGTCGGTCCTGCCACCGCTGCTGTCGAGCCTGTCCAGCCTGTAGGGGCTTCACGGACTGGGACTACGACGACAGCCGCTGCTGCCCCCGAGCAGGTGCTCATCGCACAGCGGCGGATGAGTGAGGCCGCTAACAAGCTCCCCTTGGATCGGAATCCCACGTTTGCAGAAAAGCAGCGCATGCTCATGGATGTGGCCGATCTTGACCGGCCAGGGGACCAAGACGATGACGACGACGACGACCTGGGCAGCGAAGCAGCTGGCGGCGCTGCCTCAGTCGTTCTGGCCGCCGTGCAAGCCGAAGACCCACCCCAGTCAGGCGCCTCGCTGCCCAAAACGTACATTCCAGTGGTTCAACAAGCATTTTTTGGATCAAGTGCTGCCAATCCCGTCTTTCCCTCGAGTCGCTGGGGTGGATTAAAGCGTCTACCGCTCACCGCCAATCGCGAGGAGGTGAACGAAAATTACCAAATTCGCGAAACGGTCGTCGATCGCGTCGAGTTCTGGCTCATCATTCAACTCGGGCTTGAGATGCTGCAGATGATGGCCCTTGTCCTTTACGTTGGGTATGACGTTCTTCCTCGGGCCTTTCGAATTTACACCTTTGACATCCTGCAGGTGCTGATCATGCAGCTCTCTGGCTTCCGCTCTGGCATCTATCAACAATTTGTCGCCGGCACCTGCATGGCCATCGTCATCGCAATTACCTACAGCTACCTCTTCTGGTCACGCCAAGTGAACAAGCGTTGGCGCCTGCTGGCCTTCTCGACCTTGATTGTCCTGGCGCTACCCATGACGCTCTGGGCAGCCCAGGTCGCGGTGTGGGGACCGCCACTTCAGGCCCATCACCCACTCCACCGACGCAGCGAAGCATCGGACCTTGGTGCCGATTTCTTTTTCTCTGTGGCCACTGACGCCCTGCTGGCGGGCCTGCCTTGCTATCGCGACGCCGAGGACCTGCCAACAGTCCTCATTTATCTCGTTGCCGCATTGGGCGGGGGCATCCTCCTCCTCGTCCTGCCCTTTTCTTTGCACGAACGCATCTCGCAGGGCGTGCGCAAACTGGAACTCGACTTTTGGCGGCGGCGCCGTCTGGAGGAAGAGTTTGGACGATCTCCTCTGGAGGAGCAGCTGCAACGTGATGGTCTCAACGGCGAGGCTTCTCAACGCAACTCGCAAGTCCTGGACCACCGGTTCTCGCCGAGTCCGCCTCCACAAGGCGGCGCGAGCCCGGCCCTAAATTCTAAACGGGGCCCATCTTCACGACCATCACGCGCCGTATCGCCTGATTTTCTGCAGTCCAGCCCCCAGATTAAAGGTCCTGGGGACTCACGAGGTCCCTCGCCAGCGCTCCGTACCAATGCGCGTCGTGCTTCCCTATTGATGCCTCTGGACACACCGGCCGCGTTGCTGCTTCAGGAGATGAAGGTCGTTCGTGTGCAGAGCAAGCTAGACTGGGAGCGTCGGCTGCGCAGTGACGAGGGTCTTTGGCTGCCCTTTTACGATGGGCTGCGTTACCAGCGCTCCTATTATCACGTTGAGATCCTGGCGCTCAAGTTTTTCGTCGTGGCAGTCACCGTGCTTCTTGAGCCCTACAATTCATGTCTTGGCATTGCCGAGCGGGAGCCTTTTGCGTATGCTCGCGATGGCGCCATCCTTGCCGCCGCACTTGCTGTCTTGTGTACCTATCGATGGCGGAGTTACTTTCTCAAGTCCCGCCTATGTGTCCGTCGTCTCTTGATGTTTTGCGTGATTTGCCCTCATGTGTGTGCCGTGTGCCCGTCGGGAAGGAAATGTACTTCAAACTTGATGTTTGAGCATGGATGGCGGTTTCTCTGCTTGAACGCCCGGATTGCTTCTCACCTTCACCTTGTTGTCGATCAAATGCAGGGCTTGGTTGCAACGTTGCAACTACTTATTTTGGTTCGGCGTGTCGTGCGCGGTGACGCCGAAGGCTGGGCTTATGGCTTTCACGCCCTTTGCCTGCTCATCGTGTTGGTGTACATCGGCGCCGTTTTTACCACCCGCTACATTCAGCAAAAGCGTAACCGCAACCTGGTGCGTTCACTCTACTGCTTATGCGCCCCCGCGCGCACACACACACACACACACACACACACACACACACACACACACACACACACACACACATACACACCACCCCAGTGCATCATTCCCTTTTCTCATGCGCGGGATGAATGTTGTAGCCAAACATGTTGGATCCAGCGTATGATCCTTGGCAATGCATTCGCAAACAAATGTGGGAGCCGACCTGGGACCTTTTGTTTAGTGGTATGCTCATTTTGGCTCAGTTCCGGGCTCATGGTGATTCTGCCTCACCATGTGGTGTGTCCTGTGCAACTGTGCAAAGGCTCATCTGGTGTTAATCTGTTGTTCCATGTTTACACAGTCGAACCTCAGTTTCGACCTCCAGCAGACGCACATCCCGTTTTCTACCGCCTCGCGAAGGGGGCCCCGGACATGATGCAACCGACTCCTGACGCCAATCCCGAGGCGCCGTTTACTGTCGGCGAGCGCCATTATGAAAATAAGCACATCTGTCGCCGTTTGGGTCCCAACAACTTTCGGCGCGCTCTTCTGGGTCATCGTGGATCGCGCTTCAAACTGCAACGAGAGATAGCCCAATTTTTGGTGAGCAGGCGTCAATTCATGTGCTTGTGGTGCGCACGACGCAGCCTTGTCCTCTCTTATATCCCGCATCACACCTGCTCATCATGGTACCAATGTGCGTTAGGGACCGGATGCGTGGCACGAGGGAACTGGTCAATTTGGCACACTACACGCAGCACCTTTCCCGTTCACCTTGGTGTTTCGCAGTGATAGCAATGGCCATCGCCGAGTGCTCCCCCGTGACTTTGGACCCATGCTGGACTTTGTTCGCACCAATAGCTCAACGGACATTCAGGCCCTTCGAAAGGCCCGGCGCCAACTTCGCGCGCTAGATGGGCAGCGCGTTGCCTTGTACGCCTAGCCTCGCGCTGCTCTTGCTAGGCCTTGCGTCTTGTTGACCAGTCTGCATAAAGCGACTTCTCACTCAGGTGTAACAATCGTTTGCTTGGGTTTACGACCGTGCTTAGCAATTTTACATTTGTCAAGTCATTTGAGGTTGAGGTTGACGATCGAGGCCGTACTGGCGCAGAGTATGTGGAACTCATGCTTACTCCTCTGGCTTGGATGTCTGCTTTGGTCCTTGCTCTATATTCAAGTTCGGCGCTTTTGGAAGAGGGCTCATTATGTTATCGGTTTGATGTGCTTGTGCAGGGCCAAACGCCGCATCACCAAGACAGTCAACATTCAGTTTGATCACGGTGCGGCTGCGTCGGCGTTTTGGGGCATTTAAACTTTGTCTTCTGTTGTGGCCTGATGTGAACTCATGGCATATTGTCTGCGTGCAGGAGAGTTTCGCCTCAAGTTTATTGACGCCAACGACTTGTGGCTGCCTGAAGTGGATGGCATTGCGCCGATGAATGTGGGGCCTGGCTTCAGCTTGATGCTCGTTTTGGAGGACGGTTATGGCATTGATGATTCTCGCCGTGAGCATCAGTACGTAAAGTTGATGTATTTGGAAGCGCTCACGCCGTGCTCAAGCAGACATTTGCGCACGCTCATCTGAATACCGTCGCCTGAGTCTCACGGCCCACGTTGGGTATAATTATCGGCCCCACAGTGTCAAGCAGCACGTGTTGACTGAAGTTGACTTTGATCTAACCGCCGGGTTCTCAGTCACTTCGAAGCTGGCTGAGTTGTTTGCACAAAACGACGCTCTCCTCGCGCAGCGCATGCCGCTCATTGAGGCGAGCCTCTTGGGTTACAACCAGCACCTGCAGCACGAGCTCTGGTCACACGACGAGACCCTGTCCTATCGCTTTCAGTACGTCAACATGTTGTATCCGCCCCTGCTCGTGGTGTGCAATCAACCACTCACGCGGGCTCTCCCTTTTGCGATGCTCTTGTCAATTAGCGCCGAAGTCTATTTGAGCCCTGGCTCCAATTGGGCTCAGGTCGAGGAGACAATTCGCTTTGAGGTCTGTTGCAGTCGACGCTATGGAGCGGAAACGTTTCTCGGTGCTGAACCCTGTCTGATGCTTTGTTGTCACCTCTTCCTTTCTCTCTCTCTCTCCCCCCCTTTTTTTTAAACCTTTTCTCCCAGAAAAATACGGCCATCCAGGCCGTCGTTGAGCATCCGGTCATCATGGGCTTGCGCGATCGAGTCGAGTTTCTGCGACGCCACCCGGCGTGTTGCGCTTGGTATGACTTTTTGCGTGCCCGTGAGATCAAAGGGCAGGGTCATTCTTGCAAGAACAACCTCCAAACCCTCTTCCAGTGTGACACTCAATATTATTGTGACCTGTAGGGCCCTGTTTTGGCACCACATTTGGGAGTTGCGGGGTCGCGATCCAGAGTATCAGCGGCTGGCCCAGTTTTACAACCCCGACTTTGGTGCTTCCTTAGCTTGGCGGTGAGCAGGGCCTGGATAGCGAAACTCACCGTGGGTCTTCATCAGATTGATATTTGGGCACTCATCATACTGCCATCTGTCGTCTCGTCGCCCTGCTTCGCCTCGCCTCGTGCAGCCCGATGCGACGTGAGCATTTGGCTCGCAAGCTAGACACGGATCTTTTGCTGAGGTATGCGTTTGGTTTAGAGGAGTTTGGTCCGGCGTTTTCTCTTGTAACCCCATTAATCATCTTCTGTGTGTGCCCAAATTTTAGTGAGGGGGAGATTGAATACTTGTATGCCATGATTGAGCAAGTCTGTACCGGGAAGCTACCACAGTACAAGTTGGAGCCGCCCAAATTCAATAGCTAGGCACGCTAGGTGCACACGGATGTTGTGCGTCGTGGCAGCAGAATATTTGTAGGTGGAAAAGGGGTTTATTTTGGCTAGAGGCCGTAAATGTGTGGTAGATTGTTATATTAGCGTGCTGGCATGCGAGGTGTTGCGGCATCTGTACGTTTTGGATGCATGTTACGGTGTGGTGCTGTGATTCAACGCAAGCAGCGTCTGAGCGTTGCTTGCCCAAATTGCTTCCTTGATGAATAAAAATTCAATGTGTATGTGCCGATTCAGGTGCGATGTGGTGTTGACTGTGGTGGGCGTGAGCAAGTCTTGCTCAGTGAAAGGTGAATTGGAAAACACCATGGTGAATCCTTGGGCAAGCGAGTATCTCAAAGCCTACGTAAAGAACAAGACAACATGGGAGAGGAAGCGATGGGACTTTAGCTCTCCGGGGGCACGTTCAACAGCTTCTTCACGCTAGACGATTTGTCGAAAAGTGATGCGCAACGACAGGAATGAGGGTCTGGTGCAGGAGCGGTGAGCATCAACAATACGAAGCGAGAGGACTTGGCGGTATTAGATCGTACTGAGGGGGAAGCGCGGGGATGCAGTCGTCATCCACCAAGTAGGTTGAGAGGTTGTACAGGTCAAGGAAGACCTTGTACCGGTCACTGTTCGCAGCAAGTCATGAGTTCTTGAAGGGATGCCGTGTCGGCGCAAGCGTAAAGCACAACGTCGTGCGCAAACACACCTGAGGGTTGAGCGGAGGTAGTGATAGCCGGAGGAGCCCCCACTGCCAGCCTTGGTGCCTAGCATGCGCTGTACCAAGTTGACGTGGTTCACTGGGTCACGACGAGAGCAAGGCATGTGTGATTGAGACAAGGACGAGAAAGGGATAGTGAAAGAAGGTTAAAGAAAAAAAGAAAAAAAAAGAAACATAAATATGTCAAGCACAAACAACCTCGCCTTGAAAAAACAAGCGCTCTCAATCGGTGTGAGTGAGATTCAGGTCGAATGCGGCTGAGAGCCTACGTACGTCGCCATTTTTGCAGGTGCTTGTCCAAGACCTCGAGCTGATTAAGCACATCGTAGGCGAGGTGGAAGCGCGGGAAATCACTGGATATGGTCGAGCAGTGCCAATGATAAGATCATCTTGTTTGCGAGGCAGGTACGGCAGCATTGCACGGGGCGTGTGCGCGACAGCAGACTGACCGATAGAAGGAGATGAAGAACAGGGCTTTGAAAGCCGGGTAAGAAAAGCGTCGGTTGCCTTTGAGAAGCTCATTGGCATGAACATCTTCATCAAAGATGCGCTCAAACTGAGCTTCTGTTTCCTGCAGATGTGAGGCATGACGAGGGAGTGAGTGCACCAGTGGGTGGGCATATTTTATTTGATGCACACGGACTCGGAAAGAGAACTAGGGTTGGCGAGCGTAAGGCGGCAGGGGCCTGCACCTTTTGGGCAGCGCGCATGGATTCTTGCAGGTGGGCGTTGGGTTCGGCTTCGATGCGTTGCCAGGCGGCCCGCCAAGATTCATGCAGGTTGGCTTGAAACTGGGTCCAAAAGTCGAAATCACCGTCCTTGAGACCGGGAGTGCGAGCGAGCCAAGACTCAATCATGGCAAAGAGGGATGGTTGCTCTTCAGAGTCCTGAACCGCCTTGAGGTCAGGGCCAGAGAGCGCCGCTCTGTTGTGGATGCGACAGGAGAATTAGCGAGGCGCTACACCGCAGAACTGCATCCAAGGTGAGAGTGCCGAGCGGCATGTCATGGGCAGCCAAGTTCGTACTTGTAGTCATCCGAGTGATATCGGATGCGCAGTGACTTTTTGACACCAATCTTGTTTTCCAGGATGCGAAACTGTACGCTCTGAAAGCCGGAAGCGGTGCCCAAGAAGGAGCTAAATTACCAGCATTGCAAACGGTGAGGGGTGGTACGGCATGGGTGCCAAGGGAGAAAGGAGGAGATGGGAGGAGAAGGGGGGACCAAGGCAGAGGTGGGGTGGCACTGTCGAACCGAAAGGAGAAAAAGTCGCGCGGGGTCATGGTGTCGAGCACGCTAATTTGATCAACGAGGAGCTGGGTGAAGATGGAAGAAAATCCATGCGGACATAGCAAGAAATGTGTTGGTGTCGAAGCAGGCGCAAGTGAGACGGTGGCCAGGTACACTGGGCAAGAGGTCGATCAAGAGCAAAAGGGTGCGTTAGGATATTGTGCATACGTTCATGATGACGTTGATGCGTTGTAGGCGGGCGGCAAGGAGGCGCATTTTGGCTTCATCGACAAAGCCGGCTTTGAAGACATCGAGGACTGAATCGAGCTCAAAGAGGATCTGCTTGAACCAGAGTTCGTAGGCTTGATGGATGACGATGAACAGGTGCTCATCGTGCACGGGGTTGCCATCCGGACCGCGGCTTTGGAGTGTTTGGCTGGAGAGAAGCCGGTCGAGCTGGAGGTAGGACCCGTAGTTGAGCTCACCCTCGGTGGCGCTTGGCAGAGCATAGCATATGTCACAGGCACAGGTAGAGCGATGAGCGCCGGTGAGGCGGAGCAATGGTTTGCACCCATCGCAGGCGGCATGTGGGTCGGCCTCAAAAGAGGTCAGCCAGTTTGAGGAGATGTAGAGGCAAGACAAGGGGGTGCGGGGGGTGTCGCTTACGGAGTGATCGAGTCGACGACCTCTTCAGGGCCGGCGGGCTCTTCCTTGATGGGGGCTGGCGGGTCAGCTTGCTTTGAGGGCGCTTGGGTGTGATGCACGGGGATGTGGCAAAGGTCAGCCACGGCAGCCACGGCAGAGGCGGGCGGCGCGCCCGTGCCATAATCGGACGAAGTTGACATGCTGATGCGTCTGCGTGTGTCCCCGTCATGAGCGGGACAAGGTGTGAGCTGGACGTGTGACTCCTAGAGGAGAGGAGGAGAGAGCGCGCGCAGAGAGGAAGGAGGAGAGGAGGTGAGTGAGGAGAGGAGGAGAGGAGGAGAGGGAGGAGAAGGAGGAGAGGGAGGAGAGGGAGGAGAGGAGGAGAGGGAGGGAGGGGAGAACGACTCCAACCTGATGGATGATGGTCGAACGGACAAGAGAGAAGAGAGAGAGAGAGAGAAAAATGGAGATCTGCATGTGTGTGTGTGTGTAAGTGTGTGTGGGGATGCGTTTGTCAGTGGCTGGGGTGGGGTAGAGGGTGTTGGGCCGCCAGAGGGAGGATATCAAAACGGCGACGGAAGAGAAGGGGTGGCCGTTACGGTAGCGGGGGAGCTGGGGTTGGGAGTTGGGGTCGGGATTAGCACCCCGCGCTGCCGTTTTGCGACGGTTGCACACCGGCAAGCGGATGACGCAATAAGAACAGAATGAGAAAACAGTGAGCATAACCCTTGAGACACACAGATCTCGAACTCAGTGAAAATAAGTAATTATTGCAGTAGGCGAAGTCAGTGAAATGTGTGGCAAAGATCGCGTCAAGCTGTGCGAATTCAACATCATGTTCTGGTTACGTGTGCCCCTCTAGCTGATTGCTCAGCACTCCGTGCCATCTCTAACTTGTTGCCCATTCTGATCCAACTCTCTATTATAGCTTGATTTTGACGTTGAGTCAACCATCACCTCGATGCCTTGCTCTTGCCCCACCCACCCCAAACGATGCTTTCTCTGCTTCACATCCCTACCCCAGCCTCTATCTCTGGTTACATCAGACGCGACCAACAGCTCATTTTCTCTCTCTCTCTCTGTGACGCGTGCGTGCGACCTTTGAACGGTGAGTCGACTTGGACTTGGACTTGGCTGCTCCCCGTGGGCTGCTCTGCCTCTTTGTCTTCTGGTACCGTGCGTTTCACCCACCCCCTCCTCGGCCGGTGGGTGGCGGATCTTGTGAATGCTCCTTTCTTCTGCTTATGTTTGAGTCTCTGATCCTGGTGGCATGTCGATGACAGGCATTCGGACGACCAGGAGCATGGCCGACTTGCAGGGCAAAGCCGTTTTGACCATTGTTCGTGTCCTCGGGCTCAATCCTTTTCCAATGGCTTGAATCCTTTCTTTCAATCTTGCTCTTGCTCGTGCTCATGCTCGTGCTCGTGCTCATGCTCATGCTCGTGCTCGTGTTCACATGCGCTTCTCAATTCTCAGGCTGTGCCCGAGGCCAAAGCCGACCAGATCGAGGCCGAAATTTTGCGCTTGCGTGCCGCAACTACCGAGGCTGGCAGCGTGCAGCTCGAGCAGTTTGATCGCCTGGAGCAGGTGTTCTTGGCCCCGAGCAGCTATGATGTCATCTTTTCGGGCCACATTGCTCTCCCCGCCAAAAGCCATGCCGACAGCGCCCTCGCCAAGCTGGCCGCGGCTCTCAAGCCCGGAGGCCGCCTCGCCCTGCGGGAAAGCCTCAACAGTAAGGACGTCCCCGTTTTGATTCGATTGTCGCTGCAACCCCGCTCGTCTATCTTTGTGCTCACGCGCCTGCTGTGCATCTTTGCTCGCGTGTTGCAGGTCGAAACGAGACAGCCCTGCGCTCGGCTTTGACCATGGGTGGGTTTGTTAATGTGCAAGTCTCCACCTCGGAACACGCACTCGAAGCACATGCCGACAAGCCAGTCTACGAAGTTGGCGCAGCTGCACCACTCAAGCTTAGCTTTGCCAAGAAGAAGCAGTCTGGCGCCGCAGCCCCCGCCGCACAGGTGGCTGAAGTTTGGACCATTGCCACCGATGATTTTGACGACGACGTAGGTTTGGCCTCAGCTATTCTGCTCGTCCAAGGCCTGTTTTTTTGAGTCTCATGAGACTCTCACTTGCTCCTGGCGTAACAGGATTTGCTCGAGAATGACGGCGATGAATTGCTTGACGCCGAGGACCTGGCCTTGGCCACAACTGCCCCCGAAGGTTTGGCCTGCTTTCGCTTCCTCATTTGCAGCATGTCATGAACTGCCCGGCACGCACGCTCATTATCTCAATGGACGCTGACCTTTTTTTTTTCCCTTCCCAGGTGACGATTGTGAAGTCGGGGCTGGGGGCAAGCGTCGCGCTTGCAAAAACTGTACCTGCGGCCGGGCCGATGCCGAGGCCGAACAAGCCGCCAAGCCCACCCTCACAGGACCTTTGCCCGCCTCGAGCTGTGGTAACGTACGTTTCACCAGGGCAGGACTCTAGCATCCCTCACCCGTGTCGCGCGGCGACACAATAGCCTTCTTCTCCATCGCCCGCGTGCTGTCCATCACTCGACCCTCATGGCTGCACATTGCTTTGCTCGACTGAAATTGGGGTAGTGCTATCTGGGAGACGCCTTCCGATGCGCTTCCTGTCCTTACCTGGGCATGCCGGCGTTCAAGCCAGGCGAGAAGGTCACGCTGAGTGATCGCCAGCTCAAGGCCGACGCTTAAACTCCTTTAGAACTTGGTTTTATTAGTGTGCCTTTGACGCAGGTTCTGTTTTGTCTTTGTGCTGATCGCCACCCTTGCAGTGGGCACTGCTGTTTGGCTTTTTGTCTTTTTTTTTCTTCTCGCCCTTTCGCTGGGCTCACCTCTCCCCTCCCATCCCAGCTCTCTTCGAATCAACATGCATGCCATGCAAACTTTTATCGTCATTGCGTACAAGCGATAGGAAGCAAGCTTGTCTTGTACCCTGCAATCAGGCCCGGGTCTTTTCATGTCGAAACGTCAATTCTGCTGTCACACTAGACAGGCTTCCAGGCTCTGCCTTAAAAGTCCCGCGGGATTTGAATAGCCTTGTCATGTTATGATCCTGCTCTCACAGGGCCAGATCGTCCAGATGCAAGCCGTCATACCCCATGGCTACGTTCAGGCCTTCGGCTTCAGCCAGTTTGGCCAGCTGAGCGTTGTGCTTGTGATAATTAAACTGTCGCAACCGCGTCGCGTTTGGAGTGAGGACCGACAAAGTGCAGCACATGTCCCCGTCAGACCAGTCTTGCTGGCCCATGCGCGCGAAAAAACACGAGCGCGTACCTCGTGTGACATGCCTACTAGATAAGTTTGCTTGGGCCGAAGCTCACGAATCAGCTCGAGCGACTGCGGGAGGCTAAAGTGGGTCGTGTGCTTGCGCTGCCACATGTCGGGGGTGATGGACAGACAAACAGAGAGAGAACAATCATCAGGCTGCGCATTTGCATGCCCCTAGCCCCAAAGTCCTGGCTAGAAGTGGGTCGGTTCCGCTGTCGGTTGGCAGCGCGTGAAGAAGCAGGCAGGGTACCTCAACAAAAAGAGAGTCGAGAATCAGAACATCAATCTGCTTCTCTGCTTGTAAAATTTCCTGATCGAACACCACGTCACCACCGGGAACCGGTGAGAACAGAGCCAGACACCCTGGCATGCCCGCAGGACATGAATAATGTCCACCTACCATTGTGCGCGCCGGCAGGCCATTGGTGTCGCTGAGGTAGGCTACTCGGGTGCCGTGGGCCCCAAAGAGGAAGCCAAGAGCCAGGTAAGTTCCTCCATGGTGAAGACGAAGAGGTTTCACTTCGAGGCCATGGACGTTGAAAGCTGCATCTTCTGTCTTTGATTCCTCGTCCAAATCGGCTACAACGTTCCACTTGAGCTGGGAGATGTGGCTAAAAGGTACCAAAAAAACCAAAGGCACCCGTGCCCGCAATGCGAGTGAGTGAGTGAGTGAGTGTGTGCGTGTGTTAGATAGAGTTCCTGAGAGCAGGCTCTTGAGTCACAGGCTTCTCTGTTTCTGTTCCCAGCAAGACAACATGGCCTCACCGCTTGGGTTCCTTGGTTCCAGCCTTCACAGGGCCGGGGTCTGCTTGTGTCGAGGCCTCGCCTGTTTGGGAGGGAGCATCGACAACCTCAGAGGGTGATGCTGCTCCAGCCGTCGCTGCAGCCTCCACATCTTCATTGGATTTGTCGCCCGTTGTGATGCGTGGCGAGGACTCGCCAGTCACCAGGTATGGAAAGGCTTCTGCCAAAGGCGCACATGGGTCAGGACGCGTGTCAGCTCTCCGTCTAGCATTCGAAAAAAACAAACAAGCAAGCAGACACAGAAAAAAGGCTCGTTCTTGTATTGGGTAGTGCGAGCCACTTGGCTCACGGTCAGGCGGAGACGGGAAAGCTACTCTGAACCTACGGCCAAGGCGGTTGAAGGTCTGATCTGAACAAAACACTTGCATGGGCTCTTCCACCTGCCACGTTGACTCTTGCGTCTCTTCATTTTTCACCACAACGTATCGTTGCAAGTCTCGCAGGTCGTCCAGGCCTGTTGCATGGATCGATTGTTTCCCCATGTAGCCATGATGGTGAGTGTTATTGCTCTGCCATGGATGGAATGGCTGGCGGACGCGCGTACCAAGCACGGCGTCGGCATGATCGTGGGTTAGGAGAATAGCATCAAGGCCCTTGACCTCAAACTAAAAAAGCAAGCACACAAAGGTCCACGGTGATGCGCCGTGCTCAAGGTCAGACAAGGCTTCAATCAGAGCCTTTGCAAATTTTTTTTTCCTTTCCCGCTCTCTCGCCCGTGTCTTGGCGGTGCAGACCTTGGGGAAAAAGCGCTCCACCTGACTGCGAAACGTCTTGCCACAGTCAAAGAGAATGTTGGTATACTCATCTGCTTCCGCAGCTGCAAACACGCGCAAATCACGCGTAAGCGAGAGGAGACAACAGGCCTTGCGCTTGGCGGGGCTGGCCCGTGCCACCTACCTTTGTACTGCAAGAGCATGGATGGATTGGTCCGTTTGTTGCGTGAGATGGGATTGGTGTGAGCCTCCTTGCAGACGGCACACGGCGATCGTTCACCCCGTAGTCCCAAGAGGCAGCCTGTTCACACAGCCATCAGCCCGGTTACGTCAGTCCCGGCAAGTGAACCACTCCATCGTGATCGTGAGAAAGATGATCCTGCTGCACCAGCTGCCTGTCCCGCCACTCGACAGCGGACGTACCGATATTGGGCACGCAGGTTGACGGGCCAGTGCCCAGCAATACCAAGCGACTCCGCGCTGCCTTGGCACTCATATTCATAGCGTCTCCCCGGCCCAAAGCCCAAATGCTCCGCCTCTCCCGCCTCTAATCCACTGGAGTGTCGATGTGCCGGAGCTCTGGCAACTTGAGAGAGAGAGAGAGAGAGAGAGAGAGAAAAAGAGAGAGAGAAAGAGAGAGAGAGAAAGCGAGAGAGAGAAAGCGAGAGAAAGAAAGAGAGAGAGAGAGAGAGATTTAGAGAGATAGAGAGAGAGATTTAGAGAGATTTGGAGATTTAGAGAGATTTAGAGAGAGAGATTTAGAGAGAGAGAGAGAGATTTAGAGAGCACAGCACACACGCACGCATACTTTCGCCTTTTGGCTGTGTGTTGGATGTTAGTCGTTCGTTAGAGAGAGAGAAAAGACTTTGTATCACATTGACATGTGTATGGCGGTGCTGATCAAGGGCTTACGGGTGGGTCTGGTTGGGCAATTGGAGTCGATTGACTAAACTAATCCTATTCTTGGTTGTGGCTGTTCAGTTGAGCAGAGCCTGTGCCTGCTCACATGGGATACACACTTTCAGCCGCTTAGTGACCGAGGGACAAGGCCTCAGCAAGCGCCTGTTGGGATTGCCACCCAAATTCGCGTCGAATCTAGGTCACGATGGGCGCATGGTCGTTTAGGGGGGCGGTAGTTGATGTCAAACGATCAAAGCATTTGAAAAGACAAGCCGTGCGAACCTCTTCAAACTGTAGCTCCTCCAGGTCCGGGTGCCACACATCAAAGATCAGAATCACACGAGGCTGACTGGCATTGTTCCAGACCTGACAACCACGGGCAGGTGGCGTGAGCTGGCAATACTGCCCGCATTGTGCTTGCGAGGAACAGCACGTGCGGCAGGCGCGCACACACACACACCTCATGTTCAAAGCTATCGTCAAAGAGCAAAAGCTCGCCGTTGGCCCATGCACGAGACTCGTTGGCAACGCGCAAGGCACTGCCTTCTGGGGGCACGTCCAATCCCAGGTGATACCGCAGTCGATGATTGGTTGGACCACAGTGTGGTCGGATATGTGTGCCAGCTGCCGTGCGTAGAGGTGAGGATCAAATATGTATCTGCGAGAACAAGGGGTCATCTACGGGCGGACGAAACGACAAATGCACACGATGGAGACATACGGGCCAGAAAGGAGATTTCACAAGAACCCTTGGGCATGTCGCGGCTGTATTGATAGAGGAGGCGAAAAAGTGTGGCTCCGCTTTGGCTTAAGCGACTGAGCACTTGGTGGTTGATGTGACCATTGCGCATCATAACCAGCTGATCCCACTGGCCGGTCACGGCCAAGCCCTCACCGTCACGTACGGTCAGATGGGCATCGATGGGCTGCAGTGCCTTGACGTCTTGCACCAAGGCAGGCGCCAGGGCACGCAACTCACGTGCAAGTCGCTCATGCGCGGCGGGCGGCTCGTGCCACGCTTGTGTCAACACGGGCTGCGAGTACAGGAAGGCTGGTCGCTGTTGTGGGTGTTGGAACAAGCCCATTGTGAGGGCTTGTGAGAGAATTCTGTCCCGCTGCAGTTTTTGCTCGGGCTCTGATCCGGCATTGAGAAGCTCCAGTAAGCTGGCTGCCGCAACACGCCGCATCTTGCTCGAGGCCTCGCCTTCAAACACGCTGTAGAGACCAATTCGAGCATGCCTATGAGCTTGGCAAGACACGGGACCTTGGTATGCCCGGGCCCGGAACGTGTAGCTCGCACCGCTGAAAGAAGGTCATGGCCTCTGACGTATGATTTTGCTCCGCTGCCCAGAGTCCGAGGGGCAGGAGCTCCTCCACCTTTGCGACGGTCAAAACTTGCTCCCATGCCGCCGATGCGTTGGGAGCCCTCAGGCTCTACGTCGTCAAGGCACAAAGCATGATGCGGTTCGGGAGCCCGCTTGTTTCTTTTTTTCATTTGCTTCTGAACAGGTTTCTCACATACTGCATACCTTGAGTGCGACATAAGCTGCATAATGGTATCGACCCGCGTCTGGCTGGAGCGTGATGGCCATGGTATGTGCTTCAAAGCTACGCTTGTGTTCGCCCATCTGCTGGTAGACGTTGCCTAGTGCAAAGGCTACCGCGTCGGCCGTGGGCCGAAGCGAAAGGGCCTTTTCAGAGGAGAGATGGTCAGTCGAGGCGCAGGCAAGCCAGGCTGTGGCGCTTTGCAGGCAGCACATGTGCGCGTATGTGTGTATGCGCACTCAATAGTCCTACCGCACCTGCTCATACATGGCGGCGGCAAACTGAAGCTCATTGGTGGAGGCATAGGCCAGGGCCATGTTATTTAACACATCAAAGGCCATGCTTTGCTTGCGCGCCTAGCATCGCCACATTCAGAGGGCAGCCAAGGTCAGCAGATCGGACTGCACAATGGGAGGCAGACTGGGTGAGGGACAACAAACTTTGGGTACAAGTGGCCAAGACCCAAGAAGCTTCAGGGTTTTGCTGTACGCTTGCAGGGCTTGCTCCAAGAAGCCGAGAGACTGGCACATCTGAGCAGTCATAGTATCCAATCGGTTAAGGTTTGTGTTGGACCCACAAAAGCGGTCGTCCCGGATTAAACGTGTGTCTGCAAGGCGAGTCAAAACATTGATACGGACGTGCGCCAGGTTGTAAAAAGCAGGTGGAGTGCGAGGATGCTCTTGGGCGCAGCGACGGGCCGCAAGTAAGGCAGGCGTAAAGCTGCCTTGTTGTTCCAGTTCTGTGACTGTCTAATGAGTATCGAAGCCAGTCACGCGCATGAAGCCTGGCATTCCCGCCGGTCACGGAGTACATTGTTGCTCGACCACAACAGGTTCAAACCTGAGTGCAAGTAAGGTAGCTTCGCATCTCGGCATCCCAGTCCAGAGCCTGAGCACCACCAGGAGCAGTCTTTGCTTGCGAGGCTGCGGCTGATTCACCAAGACCCAGAAGCTCGGGTGTAAAGATAACAGCCACGAGCACAGCACTGGCGCCGATCAGTGCAGCCCACATGAGGGGCTGACTCCTGATCCAGCAGGTGGAATGCCACTTTGCGTGAGTCTTCCCAAAGCGCTCCAACACTTGGCCCGCCTACAAACCCACCGCGATCTCACTCCCAATCAGCACTCACACTTTGCTCCTCGCACCACGACGCCGTGGACGACGCGGGCCGTTGCCCGATCCGTGTCGGTCGCCACCACTGGCGCTCGCATCCTTTGCTGCCATCTTGTCAGAAAAAAGAGAAAATTTAACCAAAGTCTTTTATGGATTTCATGCAGACATAGAAAACGTTTTGAGGTGGGGGATACGAATGACTGACTCGATTCATCATCGTTATCATCATAATCAATTGCTATGCAGGGGAGAATGCTTGAAACAAGGGTGGGTGGTGTGTGGTGAGGTGGCATCCAAGGCTATCGACGGCGGGTACCGCCAAAACCTATGCGAAATCAGGCTTGTAAGAATGGCATCGAAAGACTGATCGAATCATCGCATCGCATGTTTGGGAGCTCGACTGCGCGGCTGGTATACCAGGTCACTCACCAGAGGCCGCCCGAGGCATGGCACCGGCACCACCGCCACCACTGCCAAAGCCGCCGCCGCCAAAGCCACCACCGAACCGGGGGCCTACAATGAAGAAGCGTGTTTTTTCGGCTGTGAGGGCTCGAGGCGGGAGCACGTGCGAAATGGCATAGGGTCCACTGGCACGCCGAGAACACGATTGTCCCCCTTTTGCTTTCCAAACAAGGATGGCGATGCTACTCTTACGTTGGAAGCCAGGATTGTAACCTTGATTCATGCCGTAGCCGTAACCTAGTCGTTGGTTTGTGAGCGACAAAACAGTGTGGCTAGCCCGTTGGCTGCTATGCACTCTACAACGCGAATGCTAGGCAACCGACCTTGGTTGTAGCCATATCCATAGCGGGGGCGACCAGCACGACCAAAGAGCGTGCCCAAGAGGCCGCCCACGCCCAAACCAGTCCAGAAACCTAATGCCATATCAATTCGGATGATCGATCAAGAGTGAGCTTGAATGTACGTTGTGATCACAAGTCAGCATTTGCTGTGCTGCAAGGCGTCCCGCCCGTTTCCTCTTTATTTTGCCCCAGGCACGACAAGACGTACCACCACCGCCGGTGCCGGTCCCGGGGGGAGCTGAGGGGGAAGGGTTGCAGCCAGGGCCGCCGGGAGGATAACCGGGTGGCGGAGCACCGGGACCACCAGGGCCACCACCAGGGCGGAAGGTGCTGTCATTGCCATAGCCTGTGGGCGTTCGAGAGCCTGCACAGGCGCGAAGCGCAAAGAACACCAAAGCTCCCATAACAATCATGGAGAGCAAGCTGCCCAGGCCGCCGCTAGAAGCAAGGGAGAAGATGCAGGGGTGCGCACCAAAGTAAGATTTGACGCACATCAAGGACCAAACATAGTGGATTCTATGGGTGCCCGGGGCATCAAGTACGCTTTTGCCCAAGGGTTCACGACTGACCCGCTCTCATGGCGAGCTTCGTAGGAGCGGGAATAGCGGCGGTCATAGCCATCACTAGAACGAGGCAGAGCACATGACAAGATCGTCAGAGCCCTTGTGGTCGTTTTGGGCCATTGGTTAAGACGATGGATGATATGGTGCACGACCAACCTCTGGCCAGCACCAGTCGACTCCAGAGAATACTCGAGGCCGCAAGAGCCAGCCAGAATGTAAGGATCATCGGCATAGCTGTAGCCTATGATGGATGGTGGTGCAAATCAAGCTAGGTAAGCTCTTCTTGACTTTGGAGCTGTCATTCGCTGTCATTCGCTGTCATTCGTGCCAGTCTAATGTTTGTAACAGAAGATGGTTGGTGCAAAAAAAAGTGCCAACGTACCTTCGCAGACCACTTCGACTGAGCCGAAGCGCACACGCGCAGGCAAATCAGCCTTGCACTCCCACTGTGCATGAAGGGGCCCCATCCTGAATGAGCCTTGACGCGGGTGCGCGCACAAATGCAAGGCAAGGGGCGAACCTGAATGTCGTAGCCATCAGAGCCTTGATTGATGCATTGAACCCGCTCAGGGGCATCGCGGCATCCAGCACTGCCCCCCACACACTTGAGCTGGGGGACTGCACCAGCAAAATCCGAGATGCAAGGTGAATAGAGGCAAAAGGGCACAGCGAAAACAAATATGAGCTCATCTGACTTTCTGTCACTGTCACCATTCCCCGTTCTTTTGCGCGCGCTCTCTTCCTCTGCTTCGTTGTGTGGACGTTTTGCCTCGCTTTTCTGTGCTGGTTTGGTCGACTCACCAGGGCTAGAGCGACGGCCGGTGGTCATGGCCCCCGCTTTCAAGGTGAGCACCTAGAAAAAGGAGCGGGGTCGGTATTTTTTCCAAATGAGTCACAAGGAGCAAAAAGCTGGGCTCGATCAAAAATGCTTGGGCCCGCACCTTGACTTGATCCAGCAAAACGCGGTCCTTTCCACCACTGGAGAACCCCGCCACAACGGCGACGGCAACCCCCACCAGCAGGAGCAGCGGCAGAGCTCGCGGCGTCATGTTGAGCGTTTCCGCCACCAATGCCACTGACGCGAGGACGCGAAAGCGAGAGAGAGATAGAGAAACAGAGAGAGAGAGAAAATGAGAGAAAAAGAGAGAAAACAACAAGAGAGAGAGAGAGAGAGAGAGAGAGAACCACGTCAGACAATTCATTGCCTTTCCATGACGTAATACGAGACACACTTCCTTTGCGAGCACAGAGGGGCGGTGTCGTTGCAAGAGCAATGTCAGCATTATTGTCAGATGATTTGGCGGGGTTGGTTCTATATGACAACACTGATTCTTGACCCCCGATCTTACAAAACCGGAGGGCAAAAGACAAAGGAGATCAAAATTCAAGCAACGCGTCTTCTCTCTGCGTTCAACTCGCTCACCAGCCTATTCTCTGCATTACCGTTGATTTCACAAGGGCCTTCATTCACAGGATCACCATCTTCTCTACCCATTCTCATCAAGTCAACCCAACCTCTGCTCTGAGTGACTGTTACTCCTGCTGCTGCTGCTGGCTGCTGCTACAGCTGTTGTTGTTGTTGTTGTTGTTGTTGTGTTGTCGGCTGGATCGGGCCCAAGGGCGTGTCTCAGTCGCTCGCGCCTCTCTCTCTCTCGCTCGCACGCTCTTTCTGTCCGTCTCTGGCTGGGCCGTTGGGGGCTCGTGAAGCTGGTGCCTTGCAGACTGGGTTGAGATTGAGGGCAGGTTGCCAAAAGCTGTGGACTGGACCGCATCACTGCTGAATGCAGCAGCGACTGTGTCGCGCCCCCTTTTCGGTTTGCTGAATTCGCGAGCACATGTTGGCGGGGTGAGGCGAGGGGGATGATGGCAGTCTGGTTTCTCCGTCCAGTGGACATTATCCATGCACACCAGTAGCCTGCTGCCTCCTTCTTGCTTTGCCAGTTCCTCTCTTTCTTTTGGCCCTGTGGCACCTGATCCGCCCTGCCAATCTCGAAAGCGTGACCCAGCGCCATGATGAACCGAATGTTTCGCCGGCGTACGATCCCGCTTCTGGACTTGCTCTATCCCAGTGGTCATCTTTGATTTTTCTTCTTGCTCATGCTTCCCCATCTTACCACGCGCGTCCAAGTAGGTTCATCCAATCGGCGCGCTCCTGAGGCTGCTGCTGCTGCTGCCAGCGTGGACACGAATGCGGGCATCGATGCTGGGACTGATGTCAGCCCGAGCGCCTCATCTGAGCTTGAAGCTTCAGCCTCGGTAAGCTAACATGACTTGAAGCCGCCACTGTCTCAAGTCGATTCAACTCGACTACAAGCCAACTTCTGCCGCAACTTCATCCGTTCGTTCTGGATGCTTTCAGCAGTTGCAAGGCGTGGCCATTCTGGGCAGTGGCCACCTGAAGGGTTGTCCGCTTAAAGCCAACGCGTACATCAAGGTGCGGCACACACCCGCACACACAGGCATGAGGCCTTGCCTCTCTCTTCCGCCAGACACAGACTTGGGCCCGTCATTTCTCGCTTTCTCTCCTTCTCTCTGCGTTTTTGCTTCACCGTCTTCACCGCTGACCACTCATATCCTGCTTCCGGTATCCTTTCCGACAGGCACTGGACTACACCCGCCCCGCCCGCCACAGCCATATTTGCCGTCAGCTTGAACAGGTGGCGTCATCTCATGATCCTCGCTTTTGATCCGTTTTGTTTCAGAGCTGGCACGTCCATGCCCCCGCCACCCATGTTGATGTTGTTTCGTCGCTCGTCGTGCCGCCCCAGCTCCTTCAATCCGAGGCGGCGTTGGCCTATTTTGCCCGCTATCTCCAGACCCGGGGAGCATCCATTCTCCTTCGCACCTACGGTGCCTTGCTCCGCCTTCAAAGTGTCCGTGCAGCTGGTGAGCATCATGGCAACAACCGCCAACCCCTTGAACCCGCCATCTCGCTACGCTTTTCGTCCCACTCAATCCTCGTCCTCGCTTATGCAGCACCAAAGGGTAGCAAGCCAAATGGTGAGCAGCTCATGCAGCGCTTGCAAGCTGTCCAGGATCTGTTCACAGATGAAGCCCTGGTCTCAAAGTTGAGCCTCCACATTGATGGCCCCCTGATTGAGAAGGTCTGTTCGGAGAGAGCTCTTTTGTACTACACCACGCATGCTTGCAACCCACAGGTCTTGCCAGGGCCTGGAGCTCATGATCCATGTTGCGCATCCAGGCACGAGAAGCTACCGAACGCGGCCTCAAGAAGGCCGATGCCAAGACACTGCAGCCACTGACCGAGCTGACGCAGGCGACGGAAAAGCTTCTCACCTCGACGCACGTGCCCTCCTTTGTCCGATCAGAGCAGGTAGGGCAGTTGGATTGTCATGAAACCCCACCTTCTCAAAAATGAAAAACTGCCGTTTCGAAGAGAGGGCCCAGGCCCGGCAGTGCCTTTCAACGCCATTGTGCCCAGACTTGTGGTCACGCTTGCACGATAACTCTTGATTTGTAGTTTGGGCAGCACGCTGTGAGTGTTTTAACGGCAGCCGACGTGAATGTCGAAGACGTGCTCTACGATGAAGATGCTTTGATGGGCTTTATGCAATTCCTGGACGAGCAGGGTTGGTCTCGGCTGGGCCTCGTCGTCGTCAAAACCTGTTTCGACAACTCGCTGGCTCACAGCCTCACAATTTGAACCATGACCAATAGGCGCTGGGCTTCTCGTTCAGTTTTGGTTGCTGGCGGACAACTTTGCCAGCACGTTTGACGAGGTATCCTCCAAGCAACGCTCGGATGATGCGCTCGGTATCTATAACCGCTTTCTCTCGATGGAGGCCCCCGAGCCCCTCGGCGTCGATGAGAGCACCCGCGTGGCAGTGGAAGCCAGTATTTGCCGCGAAGACGGCATCCAGGCCTCGTGCTTTGCCGCCGTGGAACACCTGTGCTACACAGCGCTGCGCCTGCATTTCTTTCCGCGCTTCAAGCTGTCTGACATTTACATGCGCTTGATCAAGGACTTTATGGCTCGCCAAGCTGAGCCGGCGGCGGGCTCGGTACCCGCTGAGGGTGTCGATGACGTAAGCGTGGCGCCCGAGGGCGAGGACACGGCTCTGAAAAATAGCAACAAGTATAGCCATGGCATATATACGCTAGGTACCATTACGGAATGGGGCGAGTTTCTGCGCGATGCCGAGGTGGCCGAAGAGCCTTCCATGCAGCTCGACACGGCTCGTACGTTTGATCTCGAGTCCCAAGTGTAGCTTGCAACCATGTTGCTTTTTCATGCTGTCCTTTGCGACGGTGGCAACCGCGTGGAGTCTCGTTCAAGCCATCGTCCTAGCGCGTGCTGATACATACGGGGCTTTGACACTGGTCTGCTAGGTATCCCCGTCGCCTCGCGCATGCAAAAAGCATTGGGCCGAGACTTGCATGAGGAGATGCTTGTTGCTCTCCAGGTGGGTGTGGCCGCATGGATGTTCACGTCTTGCCTTGCATGTGTTGGATGGTAGAGCCAACGCTGAATACCATTTGTATTTGCTCCTGTGCCAATAGGTGTCACGCATGGTCATTAATGAGGTGTTGCGGGAAATGGAGGAGCGCGGTACACTTTACATGCCGCCCCTCGATATCCAGGGTCCAGGAGCTACGACGACGACAGCAGAGTCGGTCGCGTAGGCGTGTTCAGCTTGCCCCGGCCATTGTTGATGAGGTGCTTCCCCAGCACAACGGCTACCACCATGTTCTTGGGCAGTCTGCCGCGTGGTGGTTAGAGATAGGATTTTGCCTGTAACTTCTTTTTTTCTTCTTCTTCGTGTCCTTACTTGTCCTGGCTAATCTTCGATTTGGAATTCGTTTGTCTTGGATCTTCCAAACGCGCGGTCGTCTGCTGCGTTGGTTCAGTCAATTTTGCGTCAATAGTTGACTCGGAGTTGTCCTGTGGGCCTTTACTAGCTGCCTGGAAATGTGCTTCTTGCTTCCATGGTTTCATGGTTGCAGCCTTGTTCTAATTAGTCTGGCCCCCTTCATTGCTATTGCTATTCCTGCCCGATGCCCCTTGTTCTGCCTTTTTTGCTGAGCAAGCGTGCCCAATCCTTGCCCTCTGACGCCTCTGCTACCTCAGTCGTTCACAACTGGCTTCTGCTGCTCGCTCCTTTTCCGAAATTTGTTTTCGGGCGTGCCTACCGACTTGACTGTGGAGTTGAGGTGCACACGTCGAAAAGCGCAAAATTTTTTTAAAAGCCTTCGACTCAAGCAATCCCTTGAAAGATCAACCAGTACACTAGATCACACTATGAAGTCCTAAAGTATAACACATCATTACACTTTCACAGGTCAGTGGCTTCAACGTGCGTGTGTGTTGAGAGAGAGAGAGAGAGAGAGAGGCAGAAGAAGAAAATGAAACAAGACGACGGCCTCAAATGGCAGCGTCCCGTGTCGGGGTGGCCCTTGGGGTTTTTGATGCCGGGTGCATTGATTGTTGGGAGGATGACTGTGGAGACAGGTCTGAGGGTGGCGTCAAATGGTCAGGGGCGGTGGATTTTATGGCGGGATGTGGTCTCTTCAGATGGGGGAGGAGGGCTCGCCAGTTGCTGCGAGCTTCAGCGCCCTCTGAGTGGCGCTGTCCATGGGGGCGCGTCGTCGAGTCCTTGGCATGCTTGCTCATTGGCGGCTTGCTGGTCTGATCGCAGTGTCTTTTGCAGAGCCATTCGTTTGCCTTGAGCCTGTTTTCGCGTGCCACAAGCTTTGAATTTTGAAGGGTCGACTCGAAGAAGACAAACCAACAACGCCAACATGAGCTACGGTGGTTATGGCTCCTCGAGCTATGGCAGCTCTTCGTCAAGCAGCTTTGGCGGTTCTTCGGGTGGCAGCTATGGCAATGATGACTTTGGTGGCCCAAGCGGTGCTAGCCAAGGTTTGACCCCCCAGCAGCGCTCCCAGGTCATGCAGCAGGTGTGTCACGGCCGCGAGTCCCTGACCGTTTTTCTTGGACACTTTGGGTTGCATGGGCAGTGTTGCTAGAACACTCACGCTGGCTTGCCGCTGCCAATGGCTCTTCACCACAGGTGTCCCAGCAGGTGCAAATGTCTCAGTTCTCCGAAATCCTGCAGGTATGGCTCGAACCAAAGTCACTTTCACTTTGTGTCTGGCTGGTCCTGTCCTGCCTTCGACCAACACCGGCCGGACGCGTCCCATCTGTTGGTGTGAAGCCAAGGGGTTTCTTCTGTACGACGTGGCGCTCATCGTTGGGGTGTGGTTTGTAGAAAATGTCTCACACTTGCTTTGAGAAGTGCGTGCCCAAGCCAGGCACTTCCCTCAGCAGCTCGGAATCGGTGCGTCGCGCCCTGGGGTATTTGCAGGCTGGGATGTGCGAAGCTGGCGTAGAATGCGCAGCATGCGTCAGGGCTTACCACAAATCCTGCGCGTGCAATCTGGTCTTATAGGGATGCATCACCAAGTGTGCCGACCGATTCTTGGAGTCGCTCAACGTGGTGTCGCAAACCTATGTCCAGCGCCTTCAGTCGTCCCAATAAATTCCGACTCTGGTAGCCTCTCTCTTGGTCTCCTCCCCCATTCTTTCTTGCCCTTTTCCCACGTCCTCATCTCAAATCAACAACACGAAAGCGAAGCAGGCACTGTATACACGCCGACCGCCCACATCTGTGTCTATCGCTCCTTTCTTGCCACAGTGCCTTTGTCCATGACATGAAGACACCACACCATTCAAACCAGTACAAGCGGTATTTGTTATTCCTCAGACCTGCTCCCCCTTTTTGGAACTCGCACACACACACTTCATCATCATTATCATCAGCAGCATCACACAGCATGGTCCTCGGCACTCCATGTGAGACAACAAGACAGAAATACAGAGAGCAGGACTTTGAAGAGAGAGGAGAGAGGAGAGAGGAGAGAGGAGAGGAGAGAGACAGGAGAGAGGAGAGGAGAGAGTGGAGAGAGTGGAGAGAGTGGAGAGGAGAGGAGAGAGTGGAGAGAGTGGAGAGAGGAGGAGAGATACAGAGAAAGAAGTCCGATCGAGAGAGACAAACACTCAAAAACAGAGAGAGAGAGAGAGAATTCAAGAGAGAGTGCGAGAGAGAGAGAGAGAGAGAGAGAGAGTTCGAGAGAGAGAGAGTTCGAGAGAGAGAGAGAGAGAGAGTTTCAAGAAACAAGTGTGGTGGATTTTTCTCTTTTTCGGCAACATTTTTTAGTTTTTCTTTCGAGGGTACTTGATCGCTTGTGAGGGGATGATGGATGGCAGCGCATGACGGGGGCTGCGGGGGTGGTAGAGGATGTAAAAGCGGGTTGATTGGGGTATATTGAGGCTGGTCGGGGTCAAAGGGCGTCGATACGAGGTCAGGGGGCTAGTGCTGCATTTGGTTCAGGGCTGGGGGAGTGGAGCGATCATCGCTGTTGTGATGGCAGACCCTTACTTGTTCCTCGTTGGCATGCTGGAAAGCCAACTCGAGAGATCTACAGTATGTCTGGCTAACCTTGTGGGACTGTTGTGTTCTTGCTTTACAGGCCACGGGTAAAATCCATGCTTAGCGCCCGCCACCATGTGCGACGATGAAACGCCTCCAAAGACTCCCAAGGTGAATGCGTGCAAGGCACCCGTGCTAGATTCTCCCCGCTCCTTCTTGATCCTCGTGCTCACACTCATCCGGGTCCACAATTTCAGCTGGACCGCACACCAGTCTTTGGCTTGGACGATGCCCCACTGCCTAATGCTTCGCGGTGAGTGATGGGGCACTCTGATCCCTGGCTGCCCACATAATTCCAAATTGACCCCAAAAGCACCGACAGAAGGAAAAAAAAAAGACGCAGTGTCCTCCTTGCCTGACTGGATTGCTGGCGAAACAAGGCTTGCCAGCCGCGCTTCTCTTTATCCTGAGGAGTATACGCTTTGGCATTTAGTTTGATGCTCAATCAGGTCTTTGCATGGCTTAGAACTCGTGTCGATGCCTTGATGGAACAATTCAATGGTCACTTTGGTGCCAATCCGCAGGTGTGTCCATTTTTGCGCTTCACTTTTGCGCCTCGTTCTCGCACTCGGTTCTCGCACTCGGTTCTCGCACTCGGTTCTCGCACTCGGTTCTCGCACTCCCTCCAGCTTTGACCGAGGGTGCTCGGTCATACTTCTTGTTTGCTCAACTCTTTTTGGATTAGCTACTAGAGTTTTGTCTGATTGCACTCAATCCCCATCCCTTTTGTCACCCCGCGCACGCGCTCTTCCTTTAACGTGTAGTTTATCACCCGAGCCCCGGGGCGCGTCAATCTGATTGGTGAACACATTGACTACAGTGGTACGTTGACCTGCCCCGCCCCAATTGACTCGAGTCCCATGCCTCAAGATCCATCTTTTTATTATTATTTTTATTTCGGGGGGCTTGGTTGGTTTGGGCTGTCCAGCTCCCAGCCAGCCAAACGAGTCTTGAACCTCACCATCCAAGTATCAGATCGCTCGACCCTGACCCCAGCATTCCACGTGTGCTGGCTATTTTCCTGCATTAGGCTATGCCGTTCTTCCGATGGCCATTGAACAAGACTTTTTGATTGCTGCCACTGTCAACGATAGCAATACACTGCGCATTGTCAATGTTAATGACAACTATGAAGCACGTGAAATGGAAGCCTGGCCCGTGACCATTGATGATTCAAAGCACGACTGGATCAATTACTTTCTAGCCGGATATCGCGTGCGTGCCCTGTTGTTGAACTTACTGCCTGCCCGACCCAGATCGTCGTGCTCTGACCTGCACAACTGACCACGGTCTTGACAGGGTTTGCTGGAGCACGCCAAGGCCAAGCCCACAGGCCTCGATGTCATGGTCGACGGCTCGGTGCCCCCGGTTGGTCGGACGATTGGTTGATTGCAGAGTCATGTGTCCAGTCACTTGGTGATTCACCGACGCAAATCTCTGCCCGGTACCCTTCATTTTGGCACTATTTTTCTTTTCTTTTCTCTGTCCGTGTGTTTCTTTTTTCCTTTTCTGTTTAGGGCTCGGGGCTCAGCAGCAGCAGCGCCTTTGTTGTGGCTGCTGCATTGACTGCGGCCCGTGCCGTGGGCGTGGCGTATGACCTATCGGATATGGCGTCAATCTGCGCCAAGGCCGAACACTACGTGGGCACCGAGGGTGGCGGGTGCGTTGGTGTCAGCAACACTCTCGTCTGATGTTTTCTTGATTGCCTTGACTTGCATGCTGCCCGCGTGCAATGACATGGGCCTTTTTGATCACCAGCTCAATCGGTGTTTGGCCTCGGTAGTATGGATCAAAGCATCTCGCTCATGGCTGAAAAGGGAACTGCCAAGCTCATCGAGTTTGATCCCATCCAAGCCAGCGACGCCCCTTTACCCAAGGGCGGGGTCTTTGTCATCAGCAATAGCTGTGTGGAAGCCAACAAATACGTCTCTGCCGGCTCTTGCTACAACAAGCGGTGCGGCTTCTTCTACCGACTTGTTGTTTTCAATGACCCTCCGGCTGGATGCGGTCGTCTGATTTGGAAGCTTCGTTTTGATTTTGCTTGATGTACTGCCCATCTTCTGCCCACAGGGTGGTGGAGTGCCGCGCCGCTGCCATGGTCTTGGCCAAGCTCAAGTCTCTTGAGAAACCTACAAGGTTGGGAAGCACTCATACTTCTTTCGAGATCATGCCAATGATAAATGCGCCACTCAGTGGTAGCCTTCTCACGTTGCATCGCCCGAAATACAGCTTTCGTAAACTTGGTCAAGTTCAACGAGCGTTGAGCATGACTATGGACGACGCAGCAGAGGCTGCTCTTGCCTTGGTGCGTATTGGGCGATGCGAACCGCTTGCTTTGTGAGATGACGTTTGCTGAAAGCATTTCGATTTTCCGGTGTGCAAAACCGCCCAGCTTCACGCAACCCCTTACAAGCAAGAAGAATTGGCCAACATCTTGGACATTGATATCCCCAGTCAGTGAGCCGACCACGGGACCTTTGGCCATTTGTGAGGGCTAGCCGCCCGACTCACCGTGTCCTGGCTGTGGCTGACATTTTGAGATAGCCTTGCACAAGGTGGTGTTGAGTCCAAGCACGATTGATCAGGCAGACTTTCTACTCCAGCAACGCGCCGTGCACGTATTTACCGAAGCGGCCCGAGTTTGGAGTTTTCGTGGCAAGACTACTCTCGAGGTTGGTCTTAAAATTCCAGAGCGATTGAAGGAAGCGGTGGTGTGTGTGTGTGTGTGTGTGTGTGTGTGTGTGTGTGTGTGTGTGTGTGTGTGTGTGTGTGTGTGTGTGTGTGTGTGTGTGTGTGTGTGTGTGTGTGTGTGTGTGTGTGTGTGTGTGTGTGTGTGTGTGTGTGTGTGTGTGTGTGTGTCTAATGAGATCGCCTTTGTCTTTGTGGCAAACACCAGGATCTTGGGCGACTGATGAACGAGAGCCATGATAGCTGCCAGCGACTGTACGAGTGCAGCTGTCCAGAGCTCGACGAATTGACAACACTTTGCCGGTAGGCGTGCAGCTGGTACCTGATTGTGCTTGAATGTCTTGCGCAGCTGACTTGGCCTGTCTGCCCGAACGATGGTGTTCACATCAGGAGCGCGGGAGCCTATGGATCGCGTCTGACAGGGGCTGGCTGGGGTGGCTGCGCCGTCTCACTGGTTCGTCGTGCCACCCTTGAGGGCCCTTGAGCTTGGAAACCCTGCTGCCCTGCCAGCTCTTCACTCCTTGCACCGTGTGTTGCCCCTGCCAGGTTCCCTCTCATCGTCTTAGCGAGTTTTTGTTGGAAGTGGATAGCCAATACTATGCCAAACGCAATCTGGTGGGTATCCTGTGCAAACACTGCACCACGCGCTGCACTTTGCTCGTTGCATCGCAAGGGAGGCCAAGCCCACGCAGTCATTTTTGCGAATAGCTCATGGTGTGCTTGACTGTGTTCGAGCTGTAGGGTTCGCGCGTCAAGGGCGCACTCTTTGCAACAGAGCCCGCACAAGGGGCCTTTTATGTTCGGCTGTAGTCTTGTGTGTCCGAGTCTTTGTTCAAAATCTTTTATGCGCGTTGAGTGGTCGAGTGTTTGGCTGGAACGATGTGATGGTTTGGTGCTGATGTCCGAATGTTTCCACGGGCTTTGCCGTGCCTCTGCTGTAATTTGCAATAACACCCACCCACCGCTTTGAGTGACTGGTTTTTCTTTTTCGTTTCTTTTCGTTTCTTTTCTTTTTCTTTTGGTTATCGTGATGTGTCTTCATCATCATTCATTTAGAAGATTCACAATCAAATTTAGTTGATTGAGGTGGCCATTAGAACTAAACGGAAAGCGTACAACCAGGCCTGACCGGGGCCAGGGGAACACGCAACATATCAACAAGGAAGCTGTCGAGTCGCACGCGGCAGCATTGGGCACCAATCAAGGGTTCTCTGCTTCAAGAGCGGCCTCCAGGCTGCCGATGCACTCGCTCCACATATCGCACACCTTCTCATGCCGTTGGCGCTCTAGCGCAGCCCAGTGCTGCAGGCGTGATCGAATATCTCGATCTTTGTCTTCTTCAAATCTGCAGAATAAAGTATGAATAAGCACGAGCTGCACAGGACCCACGGGGCGCTTGGGATACAGCGTGAGAGAGCGGCAGCCTACTTGGTGTACTGCGCAATAACATGGCCGTCAATCTTTGTACTTTCGGTCCAAGCCCGTTCAGTTTGTGTGTGCAACTATGATCAGGTAATGAAGTCTGTGAGAAAGCATTGGGCCAGAGAGCAGGGGCACCAATGGAATGGGAGCATGCCGAAACTCTGTGGCGGTGAAGGAAATGCCTGACCTGATCGACTTGCTCTTGCAACTGTTCAACACGCTCCTGCTTGACTTGCTCGGGCGACTTTTGGCTGGGGTTAGAAGGAGAAAGAACAGTCAGGCTTTGCCAAAAGGCATTGATATGCAGCCTCACGCGCTTGGTATTTCAACAGCCAGCAAGATGCTGGGTGAGAAGGAAGCTCGAACCTGAACATGACAGAGAAGGAAGAGGGTTTGGTCGAAGGTTCCTTCTCCCTGGCCAATTCTTGAGTGCGCTGCTCAAGCTCGACGGCAATATCGTCATGATGGGCTTGCATGACCTCCCGGTATCGCAGCGTCTGCATGACAGCGGCGGGATACTCGAGATAATCTTGCAGCGGTTCGACGACTTCTGCCTTGATGATTTTGAGAGTGGCCATGCTCTCGGTTTTGGTGCCCGATAGGGCTTGCTGCTCCAAAACAAGCCGAAAAAGACAACATGAAAGAAAGTGGGGAAGGGGATGAAGACGCAAGAACAATGATGCAAAGAAAAAAAAAAGGGGGGGGCGGGGGGGGGGGGGGGGGGGGCCCCCCCCCCC